TTTCCCTTAATAACGCGGTCTGCCACCTATGGAAGGCAATGGCTGCCATTAGGGGTTTTCTTTGTTTTACTATGGCTCCATTAATGCAGGACTTTAATGTGACTTTTCAGTGAAAAGGTTCTTGCTTCTGGCATCATACATGGATCTGCATGCTAGCTGCAACTCTCTTCTCTTCTATGTGGCACCAAACTCACCTTTTACTGCCTCTTAAAGGGTTAAAATTTAGTGTCTTAGTCCTGTTAAATTTAATGTGACTAAAATTTAGGTCCTCTGCAATTAGAAAATTGCATCTTTCTAAATGATAATAATATTTCTAATGCAATTCTTTGCCCAGTCCTGGGGTCTGATCCGTGGCTGAAGGAAACACGTGACCCAGAGTGCTGCTTTACAGCAACCTGAGCTCCCCTAAAAAAGGGCTAACCCTTAAAAGTTGTTGCCAGGCAACCAAGCACAACCCATATCTGATTAGTCTTTACAAGTAACTCAGTGACTTTTTCAATGATAAAAGTTCACAGCTCACAATGGAATTTCTGACACTGTGCGACCCGATGCTCTGATGCGATCTTATGACGGCCGGCTGAATTTAAAACGTTTGATTTTTCTCCTGACCTTATGATTCCTAAGTGAAAGGTGGTCGTCAGAGGCTAATCAGCCCTTGTTACTCCCCGTATAATACATGATGAACGATCAATTTGAAGCTTGGCCTGATTTAAAAATTTTTGCACGACTGGAGAATCGGCCTGAAAAGGGCAAAAAATTATTCTGTGTATGCCCGGCTTTAGCTGAGCATTAAATTCCCCACAGGATTTTCTGTTTGAGAGCAAAATTCATGATCCCCATCAGTTGTGACGTTATCCAGGTCCTGTAACAGCCCCGACCATAACACCACCACCACCGTGTTTGACTGTATCAAGATCTTGATCTTCTTTTATTATTTTACATTACATTACATTATTTTACCTTCAAACAGGTTGTCTTTGTCTAAAATGTGATTAAAAAAGTTAAATAAAATGCATCTGTAATGCATTGGGCAATGTTTCACACCACTACAGCTTTTAAAATGCCTGATGCTTTTCTAAGCTGCCTTTTTTGTGTTTTCTTTGCAGGTCAAAAAGATCGCAGCCGAGTATTATGACTCCCTGCCTCAGCACACCTCCTGGTTCCGGGTACTGTGGGACTTTGTGTTCGACGACAGCATCGGTCCTTACGCTAGAATCAAACGAGAGTACAAGCTGAGCAAGTCTGAATAGGTTGTTGGTTATATTTAATCAGAAAAGTAAATTAAAGTTGTTAAACATTGACATTTACCACAGAGAAATGCCTTGGTTTTTTTTTCTTCACATTTGATGCAGTTGATGTAAAAAAAAAGTTTTCTCTCCTGTTGTCTTGTTGCTCTGTAAAAAAAGTAAATAAAACTATTGTATTTAGAGTTGCAAACAGGAGTAGTTGGATAGAAAAAGTGGATTTTTGTTCATACATGCATTCCTGCAGAGAAAACTTCTAACTTGGGGATGGCGGTTGCTTCTAACATCAAGGTCTCATACATTGTCATGATCACTGGAGATATCACCAGTGCCCTCCCTCTCCTGAAAGTCACCATGAGCCAGACCATCCCCGATAAGAGCTCTAATATTAACCCCATATTGCTGAAAACAATTAGTCTAATTTTGCTTTGGTAGAACGGAGCTGAAGAGGAAGAAGTGTTGATACTTTCAGTGAGAGGAGCTTTTCTTTGGTGATGCTCCGTTCTGTGGTAAACCACCTGATGGAGACTGCAGCCCAAAAGCAGACATGAAAACATCTCAGAAAAGCCTTAACACCAGTTTTTCTTCTTACCCATCAGGGTAGGTTTTTTTTGTTTTTTTAAATGTTTTTGTGAAATGTTCTGTCAATTTCTACTCACTTTTTTAAAAATAAATATTTGTGAAGCTGTTTTGTTTTTACTCATTTGTGAAAAGCGTACGAGCAGACCAGGAAGCCTGATGAGCAGTGGTTTTGCACTTTTGAATACATGGTTTTTTTTTTTTTTTCCCTTTTAATCAATGGTTCGGTAATTTCCCACCCACTAAGTTCAGCCTAATGCTTATGGGATAAACCTGCAGCTTCTGGCAGTAAACAGGACATCAGTGGGTTTCCTGTTGGTCTGCTGCATGTTGGGGTTTGTCCATTTCAGGTTCTGGTTAACCTAGATCAGGTTTTTGCATGACTTTAAAAAGCCCAACAAGCTAATAAAGAAGGGTGACTCTGTTCTAGGAACTCCTTTAGAACCTCTAGAGATGATTTAACAAAGTTAATTCTTCATAAAGTGAACGACACTGAGCATCCTCTTCGTCAGAGGTTAAACAACATCAGTGTCTGCAGTCAGAGGCTTCTCCAGATCCGGCGCAAAACAGACGGCTACATAAGATCCTTCCTGCCTACAGCTATCTACACCTACAGCAAAGAAAAAACAAACATTTCATTTTAATGTAGAGTTTTTGGCACTCTAAAGTGTTTCTGATAGTCAAATATATTTTAATATTGGACAAAGACAACACAAATAAAAAAATAATGATGTATGTATATATATATATATACCTTTTTAAATATATATATATATATATATATATATATATATATATACCTTTTTAAATATGAGTTAATTTATTAATAGAGAAAAAAGTTTCCTTCTCAGCTGTGGGCTTTGTAAAAACGTAATTACCCCTAATAACGCGGTCTGCCACCTATGGAAGGCAATGGCTGCCATTAGGGGTTTTCTTTGTTTTACTATGGCTCCATTAATGCAGGACTTTAATGTGACTTTTCAGTGAAAAGGTTCTTGCTTCTGGCATCATACATGGATCTGCATGCTAGCTGCAACTCTCTTCTCTTCTATGTGGCACCAAACCCACCTTTTACTGCCTCTTAAAGGGTTAAAATTTAGTGTCTTAGTCCTGTTAAATTTAATGTGACTAAAATTTAGGGCCTCTGCAATTAGAAAATTGCATCTTTCTAAATGATAATATTTCCAATCCAATTCTTTGCCCAGTCCTAGGGTCTGATCCGTGGCTGAAGGAAACACGTGACCCAGAGTGCTGCTTTACAGCAACCTGAGCTCCCCTAAAAAAGGGCTAACCCTTAAAAGTTGTTGCCAGGCAACCAAGCACAACCCATATCTGATTAGTCTTTTCAAGTAACTCAGTGACTTTTTCAATGATAAAAGTTCACAGCTCACAATGGAATTTCTGACACTGTGCGACCCGATTCTCTGATGCGATCTTATGACGGCCGGCTGAATTTAAAACGTTTGATTTTCTCCCGACCTTATGATTCCTAATTGAAAGGTGGTCGTCAGAGGCTAATCAGCCCTTGTTACCCCCCGTATAATACATGATGCACGATCAATTTGAAGCTTGGCCTGATTGAAAAATTTTTGCACGACTGGCGAATCGGCCTGAAAAGGGCAAACAATTATTCAGTTTATGCCCGGCTTTAGCTGAGCATTAAATTCCCTTAACACCAGTTTTACTTCTAACCCATCAGGGTAGGTTTTTTTTTTGTTTTTATAAATGTTTTTGTGAAATGTTCTGTCAATTACTACTCACTTTTTTTAAAAAATAAATATTTGTTAAGCTGTTTTATTTTGACTCACTTGTGAAAAGCGTACCAGCAGACCAGGAAGCCTGATGAGCAGTGGTTTTGCACTTTTGAATACATGTGGTTTTTTTTTTTTTCCCTTTTAATCAATGGTTCGGTAATTTCCCACCCACTAAGTTCAGCCTAATGCTTATGGGATAAACCTGCAGCTTCTGGCAGTAAACAGGACATCAGTGGGTTTCCTGTTGGTCTGCTGCATGTTGGGGTTTGTCTATTTCAGGTTCTGGTTAACCTAGATCAGGTTTTCTTTGACAGGTTCTCAGTCTATGCCTTTTGAAGTTGGAAAGTTTCTTTTAATTGTGTCGATGTCCTTTCTAATGATTTTCAATTACTCATAGGGATGATTCAATTTGCAATTCTAAAAACTTTTAAAGCAGATCAGATCACCTTCAAGTGCCAATAATAATGTGCAATTTCTGTGCATTTTGTAAGCTGAGGGCTTAGAGACACTAAGGGCAGTGTTTGCATATTTACTGAGCAACAGCTTACCGTATATCTGTGTTCTCTGCATCCTAATATTTAAAAACATGCATGCTTAGCTAATTTGTCCCCCTCACCATTATACCACCAACTGCAGCCTGAACGGTTCATACAAAGCAGCATGGATTACTACTTTAGACTTGGTTTTATGTCTGAACCTACAGTTTGAACTTCACAGCTGACACAGAAACTCATCGAACAAGACCTTTTTTTCCCCCCATTGTTTGTAATTCTGTAGTTTTGAATAATACCCCGTTCCCTGTTCTTGTTTGACAGAAGTGACTCCTGCTCTGGTCCTCTGCTGCTTAAAGGTTTGGCATGTTGTACTGTTGCAGTAAAGTTAAACTGAAGCCAGTCTTTTAATTCCCATCTGATATCAGCAGTGGATTTTCTTCCAGAAAATCTAAAGTTGAATATTTTATCTTTTGCTTCATCTTCTGTGACCTTGAGTTTTGTATGTGAAATACTCAGAGTAACCAAATCTTATGCCCCAGTCAAACAACTTCCCATTTCTTGCATGTGTAAAGGTGATCTCTATGAAGTACAGCTTGTTCACATCTACCTTACAAACCGTTGCCGTCACATGAACAGCTGAGTCACAATCAAAGTTAACAACAGCAATCGAGAGAATTAAGAGCAAGAAAGTCATGAGTTGAATGTTTTTGTGTGAAGTTAGAATGTTTTCCTTGTGTTTTACAACTTGCATCTAAATGTATACATAGAGCATAGCCCGTTGGGAGATGGCAGCTGTCTTTTTGGATCCAAACTTGCAAATGCAGACCCCTGCATTGTAGGGACATACTTAGTATTTCTTTTAATGGGTGGTCAATGTGTGTAAATAAACAGGATTGTGACTGGAACACACACACAGACACATACAAGGATTTTGTTTGAATAAATTTAATTCCAGTTTTTTTTTTTTTAAATCAGAACGAGTCGAGAGTGGACAGAATCCAGCAAATAGTTTTTAATCCAGATCCCTCCTGCAGAAACACGTTAAACCACCATCACATAGACCTTCATCATGAAACTTCCTCAGGACATTCATCTCCAGATCAAACTCAAACGCTGAGCTAGACTCTTTGCATTTTTTTTAAAGGGGAAACAAACCACTATAATAAATGTACCACCATTTATATAGATTTTTAATTAAGTTTTGAACCAAATAGAAAACAAATAGACTGGGGAGTTTCATGCATACTGGGAGGTTCACAAAGCATAAGATGAATAATAGAGAATACAGCGTTCCATAGGTAAAACAGGGTGGCATTTACACTCAGCCTGTTTCATGAACGATCCCCAACGTGTTCCTCCATCACACTGGAGCTGTATGCTGACTGCACTTCAATTTATAATGCTTCAATGTCATTCTGCCTCAAGAGAGATGGAAGGTTTTTTTAATCTATGGAGAGAAAAGATTAGACATAAAACACCAGTATGAGCAACAATAGAAAAATGTTTTCCTTCATTTTTTTGTTTTAAATATGCCATTTGAGGGCCAGTGGGTCTGCATCTGCAGCTCTGCCCATGTTGTGCTTGTTCTCATGAAATGGTCAGGGAGAAACCGAACCGAAGCAGCCATAGAAAATATAAAAAGCTGACAGAAACGGTGTGCAAGATTCCTTTGTCCTTCTCTAATACCATCTATAACTCATTGTCGTCAACAGCGTCATCATCATCACCACAGTTTTAAATAATAAAACAGTAAAAACTTAGAAAACAAAAATATTTTCTTCATAAGACTCAACAGAGACAAAAGAAGCTGCAACACTGGGCTGACTGAGTCTAGGTGCACAGAGAGGACCACAACACCAAACTCAGTACAAATGTCTCTTCAATTCAGCTTTAAGTCCATGTTTCCTCCTTTCTTTAAATTAATCGGAACATCAGTCTTTCAGCTTCCTTCATGGAAATCCTTCCTTTGTTTATTTCTGTCTCCGTGTTGCTGTCCAGCAGACTTAAATGTTGGCACAACGTCTCTGCAACTTGCACCGTGGCGTCGCGAGGTCACAGAAACATTGAGAGAACATTCCCTGGTCCTCGTGTCTGTGCATCTGCGTGTCCGTCCTCCTCCTGACCCCCACCCCCCAGCCCCGCCCCCCTCTTACTCCTTCATCCGACGCCCTCGGATGAGATTAGGACGTACCGATTCTGCCAATTTCATGTCTGATGGCTGCAAAAAAGAAAAACAAAGAGACGGAGATTGAAGGAGATTTCGTTGAATGTGTTTGATTGGAAACCTGAGCCCTGGTTGTTTTCTTACCGTTAATAATTTCATCTTTCACCTTGTGTAACTCACGCACAACTTCATCCAAAATTTCCTGCAAAATGAGAAATAAATAGGATATGCATGTGAGTTTATTTTCCACCAAGCAGCTCCAACAACGATGCCAAATGAATTCTGCAGGTACACAAAGCAGCATAGAAAACCTGTTTCATCCGGTCGAATTCTGTATCAGCCTCACCAGCGCTGCCGACAGGTCTCACTCTGCAATAGGAAAGAGGAAAGAAGAATTTACTCTTATTTATTTAATGATTGTAACCATTTGATTTTCTGAATATCTTATTTTTATGATTCTTTAATCTGCTCACCTGGACACCAGGGAGGACTTGTCTGCTGAGTTGGAGCGTTCCCACGGTTTCTTCAGGGCATCTGTAAATAAATGGAACAAAGAATTGCACCTGAACAAACACTGATAATAAAAAAAACAACTTTTTAAGACTATTATTTAAACGTCTAATAGAAACTCAAGTTCTTATGCATTTATTTACACAAAATATTCCAGTAATTTTTACAGTAGAAGATATGTATCTGTTCAACAGAAATGACACAAGATATCGTTCTGCAAATAATAACAGTTGACTTGTGTGAGCAGCTCTCTGCTCTGGTTGCTGTGATATATCTCACATGCTCATCTATGCATACATGGAAAACTTCACACACATGCGTGTGCAATTAGTGCAGGCAGGTAAATGAAAAATGCATGTATGCACTAATTGGCCCCTGAGGTTGACTTTGAAGGAGAACAATAAGGTTTGCTGGCTGTGTGGTCAAACCAGGGGAAACCCGTGCATGCATGGAAAGAACAGTTGAGATCCACTGGTTCTTGTTGCGGGCAGTTGAGATGAGAATTTGTCTTAACACTTGCACTCACCGCCAAACTGTTATAGGTGGCTGCAAAATGCACATTGTTCTTGTCTAATAAGGTTTCAGCTGTGATGTTGTTTTGTAGTTTTCTAAATGGATCACTCAAAATAAAAAATTACAAATAAGCCTTCAATTCAGCAGTCCTGGAACCAGTGGGTGAGCTTAGAAATGCTTAAAAATGTGGACTAAATTTGAAGGCATCACAACCTTTTCAGACCCTTTCTCCTCTATGAAGATCAATCAGCTAACTTTGTGGTTAAAAAAAGCACCCAGCATTAAAACATCTTTTGAGATAAGAAAGGTCTTCTCATAAGAAATATTCAACTAAGTTGCTGCAAATAAGTCAAAAGTGATTTAAATCATCTGGCCTGTATGATGATGGGCGGTGAGAGTTATCCGGTACCTGTAGAGTTCTGCTGACCTGCCCCTCGACCACCAGAATCATCCTATAAGAAAGACCAAATATGTGAAAAATATAACATATAAACGTTTTATTAGAACAGGCTATAAATCTAGACCGAAAAAAGACATCTGCCGTCACTTCAGATTACTTCTCTTCTGAATTGCTGAAGTAAAATTTGAGCTTTTTCTCAGAAAAGCTCAACTTACCTCATCCGGTTTCTCTGAAGCTTTTCGCCTATGAGAGGATGAAAGAAAAAAGATAAAAGCTCCAGGACCAAAAAAACTTTTTCATTTTTAGAGCAAACAGATTATTAATAAACAGACACGCTATACTTGCTAAATCAGATAACTCATTGATTTACTCTTTATAGACCCTGCATTTTTGTTCTTTTTTTTCACCTGCGAGCTAGTAAGGCATTCATCTCTTGCATTAGACCCTCTCCTCCGCCACCGCTGCCCCCGCTTGATCGGTTGGAGTCACATTTACCCCCAGAACCAGGCGGGCTGCTTTCATCCTAGAAAAAACCATCGAACAATACAGTCTTCACCCAAGGTGCAGCCAGAGACAAATACTGGGCAACATGTCCCTGTACATCCATCACTAGCATTTATGAAAACTCCAAATGAAAGGTTAGGGAATTTTTTTAACTAAGAGCTCACCCGATGCACTTTCCGTAATTTGGCTCCAGCGAGAGCTGCAGCAAGTCCCGAAGGCTGGACCCCAGGTGGGCCCCCAGGTGGCCCTCCACCGGTGGGCAAAGGAGGGGGCATAGGTGGAGGCACCGCCATTGGAGGGGGAGGACCTGGGGGCGGTGGCGGAGCTGGCGGACCGGCCATGGGTGCTGGAGCCGCAGCTGGAGGCGGAGCCACAGAGAGCATAGCAGGGTGACCTGCAGAGACAGGGCCACCTGGACGGAGCAAAGCGACAGCTTTACTAAAACCAGTGGGTGTTGGCGTGGAAAAAAAAAACATCACTTCCTGCAGGTACAGTTGTACCCAAACTGTCTGAGAAGTTTAATTTTAGACTCAGGACTACTCGGAAGCAACTGCAAGCGGAAAGTAACAGCTAGAACAATGTGCTAAGAGCTCAAGATGGGAAAAATATGTGAAGGACGAGATTAGATCCAAAATGTTACTACATATTTGATATTACGAGTCTGTCGAGTGCCGCGCCTCATAAATTGTGCACCTAGAGCTCCACCTGTAACACTCATTAAGTTTTCTAACGCATGCAGAGGTTGGCATCTTTTGGCTTATTCTCATTTTGGGCAGCCTGGGATCTCTTAGACCTTTTACAGCTCAGTTTCTCATGTTTCTTTAACCTAATCGCTCTTTAATCAACCAAATCTAATGCCTTCCAGAAGTGTTCATGCCCCTTCAAATTTTCCACATGTAATTATAAAAGTGCAAACCATTGCAGTTTTTAAACAGATCCCAAAAAAAAAAAGACATTTTATAAAAATTATAATAGCAAGTCTGTCAGGGGGTATTTTTTCTAATTTTTTTGTAAATCTAGGGTTATTACCCCACATGGATAATTAAGTCTTTTACCATTCCTCTTTGCAAAACTGCTTAAGCTCAGTCTAACTGGATGGAAGGGTCTGTAGATATCAGTTTTCAAGTCCTTCTATCTGTTCGTGTTTTTTTTCCCATTCTGCTTGAAGGTGAACATGTGCTCCAGTTTTTTTTTTGTTTTTTTTTTCCAGCCTCTAACAGGTTTGGCCTTTATTTTTCTCTTTTGACCTTCTTCTCCATCTTTGCTAGAGCAAAAGCATCCCAAAGCATGATGCTGCCTCCCCCTTATCTCCCCCTGGGGATCTCATGTTTGGGCTGTCCCAAATGGACCTAAGAACCATCTTTTAAGTGTTATCTACCTCCTCTGCACAATGTTTGGTTGGTTTGTTAAATAAATCCCCGAAAACACAGATTCTACCTGTTTTGTTTGTTTGCAACGTGACAAACTGTGACAAAGTTTAGAGAATAAATTCCTCAGAAAGGCATCATATATCAGTCACTGATCAAAGAGACACTATTTAGTTTTTTGCCATTCATTACAGATTAAGTAGATTATATCTACATCCTTAAAGCTAATTTAATCTCTCACTCAAAGTGATATTTTAACAAAAGTTGCCTTTCTGAGTAGGTTTGAGACCAGGTAACAAAAAGCTAAATGCTCTGCATGCTTCTCTGGTGACCCTCTATAGAAATGTTCATGTTACTGGATCACCGAAGGGCTCCAAAGAGCATGCAGAACACAATTATTTCGCCAAATTCATTAAAAAAAAATCTTCTGTTGAATGCTAAAATGTGACAAAGTCATTTAAAAAACTGGATAAATCAGATTTTTGTTTAATATCAAAATGTAATTTCAATATAAAATGTCCAATAATAGTTCAAAGATGGCACATTTTCTTAAGATATTTATTGCCTTCCTGTAAAATAATTCTTCAGATTTAAATTTTTTTTTTCCTGTGGGATGGTTCCTTCTGCCCAAGGAGGTGGAATTTCTTCTCCCTTCTAAAGCTGCAAGAACAAAATGGCTTCACTGTTTTCTGTCTTGGGGGTTCTTGCTGCTTTTTCTTAAAACTTCGTTTGAGCATAAGTGTTTTCTTGCAGGGGGTCAGAGAACAGTTATAGGACTGGTCAGGATTTGGATGTGGGTTGTTAAGTAGGAAAAACTTAAAGGATTTTTTTCAAATTCAAGCTACTCATACTTGCAAATTCATAAGGAACTTATTCCTTGTAATTCCACCTTAAAATTGTGCTATTTCTCATTTCCTGCAGGGTATGTAACAGAATTCAGTCCTACATGTTTAAAACTATGAAACAAATGTCATTTAAGATTAATATAACCAATCATAACCTAAACTTTAACATATTTTAAATGTTAACCTCAATTATTAGGTGAAATTACAGTTTTTTTATAATAATAATCTCCTTTATTAAGGGAAAAAGAGCCATCAAAGTCAACCTGGCCCTATTTGAAATAAAATTAGCACCATAAACATAATAGGTCGTGCCCCTTTGGAGAAAACAGCAGCCAATAATTCACTGAGTCTTTTGGTTCATTCTCCTTAGCAGAACTGCTCTGGTTCAGCCACATTGGGAGGTTTTTGAGCAGTAAGGTTCTGCTTAAGGAAACGTCTCAAACCCAGAATAACACCAAACCCTTTTTGAGCTCTCTAGCAGTGGGGTGCCGGTGTGCCTTCAGGATTTTCTCTTAGAGAACAGGAATAATGGTTCAATAATGTCTATCAGTTGAGACACCACACACCCTCAAACTACCATCACCCTGTCTGATTGTTTCTATGAGCTACTTTTTCTTGAATGCTGTGTTAGCTACATGCTAAACGTGATGAGATGCACAGTTTAAATAGAATCTAGGACTTTGGCATTGATGTCCACAGATGCTCCTTGAGTTATTTTTGCAAAGAAGAACAGGAAGCTAGTAGAGACATCCAACTGTAATCAAAGTAATAAATTGTCCTAAAAGGTTTGTCACATATAAACACTTCTGCAGGGGACTGTAGTTCATGCTCCAATTTTTTGAGGTTTTTCAGGGAATTACATCATAAGCAAAAAGTCTAAAATGCACATAGGTAAGTGAAAATAGTTTCTTGTAAAGCCTCTAATTTGGTCTGACAGGAGGAATAGCGACTGGCTCTTTGATACGTCTTTCTCCAGAGGTTTGACGGGAGGAGCTCTTTGGTTTTATTGCCTAACACGGTTCTGCGGGTCTCACCCGACCTGTATGACGGGGCGAGACAGGTTAGTCTAAGAGAGTTAAAGCCTCCCTGTGGGAAGACGGAGGGTTTGTTCAGGCTGTTGGCACATCGATGTCTTTCGTGTCAGTGTCTACAGATGCGGGGTGTGGTACCTTCATCAGAATCCAAACACACTCCTGTTCTCAAACGAGCCATCCAACATTCGCACACACAGACTGTAAACTCTTGTCACATTCCTGCTGAGACGCTTCCTCCTCCTCTCCTCATACTTACTGCTGCTGGCCGCGGGGGCCGGCTGGGGGACAGGGGAGGGGGTCTTCTTGGGAGAGCCCCCGTCTGACATGGCAGTGTAAGAGGGGGGCGAGGAGGAAGAGGAAGATGAGGTGGTGGTGGTGGGGGTCTGAGCCTGCTGGTGGTGCTGCTGCTGGTGTAGATGCTGCTGAGAGTGGAAGCTTAACTGGTTCTGGTAGTTGGGGGCGGGGCCAGGTCCTGACTGACCTATCAGAGGGGGGAGGGGGATTGCCTCGCAGTACTGCGGTGTGAGCGGGAGATGCTGAGAGAGAGGAGAGTAGGAATCGTCGGACTGGCCGTTGGAGTGAGGGTGGGGTGGCTGCTGGGGGTACTGAGGGTGGCCCCCAGCAGTGGGAGGGTCAAGGGGAGGGGGCTTCATCCTAGTGCTGACAGGTGGAAGGGGGTGAGCTACTGGGAGGACTGGCTGAGGGGGTAAACCCTGCTTTACAGGCATGGGCATCATTACTGGAGGGGAGGAGGAGGGTTGGGGGCACTGGGAGTACATCTGCTGCATGTGGGAGGCAGACCAGGTGCCATGTTTGGGGGGGAGATGGATTTCTTGTTGCTGCTGCTGTTGCTGAAGGTGGCGGGCCGCTGTGGGAGGGGAGAGGGGGATCTGACGGACCTGTCGGCCCTGGGTGTTCACTCCGGCCTGGACTGGGGAAAAGGCCGAGGCGAGCGAGGTGGACAGCTGAGAGGACAGCTGGGCCTTGTCCCTCCCACCCCCCACCTCCCTCTCCTGGGAGGGAGACACAGAGGAGGGAGGAGAGGAGGAGGAGGCCACGCGGACGTAGGAGGGCGGCAGTGTGCTAGCCCTGAACTGTCTGTACTCGGGAGGAGTGTCTGGGTGGGTGGGAGGGGTGGACACTTTATACTGGAGGGTGGAAACGACTGCGGCGGGCAGAAGGTGGGAAAGGCAGAGAGAGAGAGAGACAGAGAGGAGGAGGAGATGCAGACGAAGGAGGGTAACAAACAAAGGAGAACAGAAAAGAGAAAAACGTGAGAATAATGAAAAGCAACTGAACAGTCAAGCAAGTAAGATGAGAAAAAATCAGGAGCAGTCAAAAAACAGAAGCCAACAGCAAATAAGAAAGAAGCAAAATATCATAATAAAAAAGAACAAGCAGCAGAATGCAACATGACTGAGCCATGATCAGAGAGCATGTGGCATTTCCCCCCACCGGCAGCTGGAAGAACGATGGCGGTACAACATGTTGCAGGGGACGGAGAGGGGGGGGGGGGGGGGGGGGGGGGGGACTGATATAACCATTCACATCAGGGACAAAGGGCCATGTTTAAGTCTGTAGGTGAAGTTAAAGAGCAGACTTGAACATTTAACATGTGTAAATGGATTCAAATAAAAACCATAGGGACTTTGGGAAAACTACAGAGGGAAGCCTTTTTTATCCAGGAATTTCTGGTATTCCCCACAGGTGAAGTAATCTGTGTGCTTTGGAAACATAAAGCCAACCTGACCTACTAAAGGAAAAACCAAACAAAGGCGGGTCAACATAAATTCGCTCTCGTCAGGACCGTTTATTGGTAAATGGAGGCCTCTTGGTGAGTGTTTTGTTTTGGATGTTTGTGCACTGGGGATCATGTGACGTGCTGCGTTCAGGCTTCAATGGGCGTGTGTGTGTTTATACTGGGGGGTGTGGGTGTGTTTGCTGGAGCCTCACCTGATCCCGACGTCCGCCGCTCCCTCTCCTTGTGCGCCTGCATCTGATGCTGCTCCATCATCCTATCAAGTGCAAGGATGTCACTGCGTTTGCTCTCAGTAAATCTGCGGTCACTTGACGAGGCCTTAAACCAGGGCATTTCTTTCATGCCGTAGAGCATGAAAGAAATGAGTTTTTCACTTTTTATATAAACTAAAACAACTTCTTCCTATAAACAAAACTCCCAAACCCCTTTTAATCATAATTCTGATCCTTTCAGCCATAATCTTTGCAACTGAGAGTCTCAATCAGGAAACGTTTGCAACACTTCAGCGCCAAAAAATAAAGTTGGAGATACCAAGATTTAAATGACATTTAATTTCATGTGGAGTTGTTAAAGGGATGAATTATACACCATATTTTGCCTTCTGTTGCAATAAAAGCTCTTAACGACTTGGAAAAACCATCCTGTTCTCTGTCATCTCTGTGCCTGTTGTGTTTGGTTGCAGGTTGCATTCAGAATGAGATGTGTAGGAAACTATAACCTGTCAAAAAAATAAAAAAATAAAAGTGAAAATCCTGCTACACTTGATGGGCCTGTTGGTGCAGACATTTCCTTAGTGCAGCGGGAAGCAACTATGTGCAGAACCTGGAGGTAAAAATGGGTGCAGTTTCAGTAAATCTTTATATTTAGCTTGCGTCTCTTTGAAGGCTCCAAACTGTTCATAAAATAATGAGATTGACGACGTTAAATCAATGCTTGAGAGAAACTGTTGAGCTGCACTGATTGACTACTTGTTCAGGAAGAGATAAATAATTTTATATCTAGATGTCTGTAAAATATTCATCTTAATCAGCTATGAAAACTTATTTATCCATAACATTTTTTTTTCAATTTTTTTCCTTTTTTTTGTAAAACTAACAGTTTCAGATCATCAGATAAACTTTAATATGAGAGAAACTCAACCGGATTAAATGCTTGAGGCCCTTTTTTGTACAATAGTCTCCTTTATTTAGCAAAAAGAGTTATGCAAACCAATTTGTCTCCACAGAAAAGGAAGTATTGCAGCATAAACCTTAAAACTGGTTTTGCCGCTTTTGGAGGCAGTAACTGTCATGATTGTGATTTCTATTGTTAAAGGAAAGTCTCCATACAAACTAAACTGATCCTTTTTAAAAGTAAACTACGCAAACTATGCCAAAAGATTCCAGGAAGGAACACGTTCAAGAAATTAAAGAAGATATGAAAAAAAAAAAAAAAAACATTTATCAGCCCTAATTTATGACGCCCAAACATGGTGGTGGGAGTGTAATGGTTAGTAGCTAATGTCCTGTTTCAGGACCCTTATGACTTGCCATAGAATCAATCCAGATTGGGTCTTTGAAGTAGGACAATGATCCAAAGCAAACCAGAGAGTCCACCACAAATAGGCTGAAAACATCTGTGTGGTCTAATCAAAGTAAGCGTAATTGAGATGATCTTTAAAAGCCCATTTATGCTTTCAACCTGTTGGTTTAGGACAAGGAGAGGGACAAAATTCTTCCTTCCAAGTAAAAAAGATTCAATAACTGTTAAAAAAGAAAGTTAAAAAAGCAATCACATTAACTCAGAAAAAAAAACTTTCTAGTTTGAATGAGTCTTTTCTCTCTATCATGACAATGGTTGTTTAAAAACGTTTTTTATTTTTATTTCTAAGAATCTGTATTTGTATGATGTTCTGAAACATTTAATGTGAAAGCCTCTTCATTAAATACCTGACGCATTATGACCTGCCCTCTAACCAGAACCGGCGCGTCACAGAGGCTTACTGAGGTGCTGAAGGACAAACTGTGTGTAGGGCTGCACAACACCAGGAAATAATTTGATACTTCATTATTCTTGAGAACTGAGAGGACCTTATCAGTCAGATATTTCCATTTTTTTTTTATTCCTATCACGATTCTCCCAGTTTTCTCTGGGACGCTGAAAGGCTTAAGAACCATCATCTCAATTAGGCCTAAGCTACTGCATACGTGCCAACAGGCTGAACCTCATGTCATTTAAGTTAATGTTCTGCATATTGGGATAATGATACATTGATAAAACTAAGGCTTCTATTATAGATGCTAATAGACATTTAATAGATGTGTTACTTATTCATCTGTAACACTTTATAACTCATTCATGAGTGTTTATAATGATGTTTAAACTGATGGATTTCTTGCCTTAAAGGATCCTGTTTTTCATTTTAATAAGGGTTGCTTATATTCAACATTTCAGACTAAGTCACAAAACAAAACAATATGTTTATACCATACAAAATATATTGAATATAGATTAAACAGTTATGAATGAGCAATTACGGATTAAATGAAACCATATCTATAAGATATTTATTACCCATCTATAACAGGAGCCTTGCTTTAAATTGTTTTGTTTTTTTAACACAAATGTTTTGCAGTTCTAGGTTAGAACACCCAAAGACTTTTTATATGGAGGCAGAGAACAATATTTTAGTTTGAATCTGTCTGATGCATGTGATACCATAAGGAAGAAGGGTAAAAATAAAATATTTGTTTCTCCCTTAAGGTTGGTCTTTTTTTGCTATTTCTACATGTCCTCATGAGAATCATACCTCCTCTGTGCTTCGCTTTCTTCTGAGGACGGACCGTTTTGGCGCTGAACTACAGGACCTGAAAAACACAAAAAGATTTTAAAGCTAAAACCAACCTGACAGGCTGCAAAATATGATCGATGTGAATCATTGAATTACAATTTTTCTTTCAGTTAAAACTTCATTTTTAATAGAATAGCAGAATAATGGAAGAAATCTGCAATCCTGCAGTGGGCTCAAAATGAGTGCTATTGTACAGAAACATCTTTCCAGATAAAAATAAAACATTAAAATGATCATGCAAGGTGAAAAACTGTGAACAGAAAGGCAGCCCAAGCACACAGCAGCTGGCATCATGTGAGGCGCATTGATTTAGTGCTGAAGGGGCTCCAAACTGTTTCTTTACAACACTGACGACCACAGGAATTTCAGCCTCAAACCGCTGCAAAGAAAAAACACTGGGATAAACTGAGACCTGGCAACGATAAAGGAGGAAATAACCAGAAAAGGGGGGGAATGGAAAAAAAAGGAAAGGGAGCTGGTGCTGAATGTTAGAGGGATGATTGTGTCAAATGACTGGTTCGGTTCTACACACACACCCACACACACACGACTGAAGGGGCTATTAACAGGAAGCATCGGGGGGCACTTATCACATATCACTGGAATACCAGTCATTAGAACTCTAACACCCAGGGTGGCATCAGGATCCCCCGCAGGCCGATATTTCCGTTCACTGCGTCTGCAGCTGCAGGCGGGGCGACTGGGATCACACCGCTGGCAGAGAGAAATCCTCTGGATTTAGCTTCAGGCTCTTACCACTTTCTATTATTTATTCTTCTAATGCTAAACATTAAAGGGGCCATAGAATGCAAAACCGAGTTTACATTGTCATAGATGAATAACGATAGTTCAGTGGGTGAAATGGACGTACAGAGAAGTTCAAACGCCATCGACACCTTCTTTCTCTGCAAATCTCACAATTCTAAAATTCCACCATAAAACAGGTGAATCCAAACGAAGCACCGAGTTGATGTAAACTCGGGGATGTTGCTTTATTAGGTTCTGGCGTGTACTTTTGGCACGCCCCAAAATTGACATACAGACCAGCCCACTGGGTCACTGGCCCAAGGGAGGGGGGGGTATGAAGTGTTGACTGCTGGGCCGCTGACTGGACCGGACCTCAGCAGAGAGCCATGAGCCGCCCGTCCTCGGGCTCGGTGTGTTTCGACTGCGTGCTGCACTGAAATCGACCAAAATCCCGGACGATTTTGAAATTCCCCACTGATATATTTTTTAGGTATGAAAAGTAAGACATGTCTGGGAAAAGGAGTGCATCTGGTAACCCTATCATATAAACAATTAGATGTTTCAGTGAGTGAGTGCTTGTTGCTATGATGCGTCTTTGCTCAGCAGCTTCCCTTGTTGTAAACCAACCAATCAGCGCACAGCTAATCTAAATATTAATGAGCATACCATAAAAGGAAGAAAACCTGTTGTTTCATTCTAGAGCTTTTAACCAGGCTGGAATTAGGGCTCATAGAACAGCAAAGATGCCATTTTCAGCCCAACCAATGTTACACACCCTATTCAGAGACCTTAAGGACCAGCACCAAATACCCTATAGAATCATTCTATGACCCCTTCAAGGAAAAACATGTCTGTTTAAAATCAGCAAACTTGATAATTCCTCACAACATGATGCTGCCACTACCGTGTTACACAGGTGGGACAATGTGTAACTATTCCTGTTCTGCTTAAGTCTCATATGACCAGAAAAAGTTCTTTACCTGATTTATGTGTCTTTTTCTTGGCTTGTCCCACACTTTAGACAAGATTAAGTTTTTTTTTTTTTTTTTTTACACTTTATTCTTATGACTCTTCCTTAAAAACCAATGCAGTGCTATAATGGAGGCACCTGTTCACTAAGTCTCCAGCTCCTTCTCTGATGTGAAATGTCCAGAACTCTGGATATTTTTTTGTAACCTAAACCCACTTTGATTTTTCTCCTCGTTTATGAGGAGTTATGTCATATAATTCCTGGTATTCTGATGTGATTTGCTCACTCATTTTCTCTAAAGCACTTATACAGCCTCCACAAACAGCTCAATTTATGCTGAGACAACATTACAAGACAAAGACACTAGTAACCTGTTAAGAGGCTTCTGAAGGCAGCTGTTTGCACCAAATGTAATGTACCTGTTTCAGGAACATAGACCGGAGGTCTTCAACAGGGGGTCCGTGACCCCTAGGGGGTCCGCAGAGGTACTGCATGGGGGTCACGAAAGTTTTGATTGATTAGACTTTTTTTTATATTTCCCCCTGCAATTTTTTTCCACTAAATAACTAATTAACATGAATTCAACAGACTGTAGTAAACAGATAAATGGAGGCAGAAGATGTCTTTCAGTCATCAATGCTCACATTCAGCGACACACAGGAGCTCTTTCAAGCTGGACACCGTTTCATTCACAACACCTGTCCCATCAACCAGGAATCAGAAATACTTTACTAATCCCTGGGAGGGATTACTTTCGTTACATTACTCTATATGTAATAGAGCAGGGGTCTTCAACGTCTTCCAGGCCAAAGACCCCCAAGCCTATGACAAGATTGAGCAGGGACCCCCTAATTATACATAGTATGAAATAGTGTTCTATCAAACTGGTCCTATAGTCATTCACTATTACAGATGGAGTAATGTAACGAAAGTAATTTCTCCCTGGCATTATTAAAGTATTTCTGGTTCTGATTCCTGGTTGACGGGACAGGTGTTGTGAATGAAACGGTGCCCAACTTGAAAGATCTCCTGTGAAACGAATTGAGATTGGATCCCAGTTTTCTTTTTTTTTAAAGAAATTCCTCTAATTTTTAAACCTGAATGCATCATGTTTTTTTATTCTTATTCAGATTTTATAGAAAAATTTAATTTTAAGTTAAATTAAGTCAAAAATATATAAAATTTCTAAATTATGAACGTATATTGACCTAATAAGAAATATAATTTTAATTAAATCCAATATATTATTATATATTATAATATTTTAAACTTTAATATATTTAAATCCCTTGCCCTGTTTTTTTATTTCATGCTTTTCTGTGCCCCCAGGAAAACCAAGCTGGCCCTCTGGTACATTTGGTCTAGAACCGCCACTGGCATTGAAAACTGAAAGACATCTTGTGCCTCCATTTATCTGTTTACTACAGTGTGTTGAATTCATGTTAATGTGAATTTAAAGAGATTTTAATTAGTGGAAAAAATTGCAGGGGGGGGATATAAAAATAAAAGTCTAATCAACTAAAACTTTCGCGACCCCCCTGCAGTACCTCTGGGGACCCCCTAGGGGTCGCGGACCCCCTGTTGAAGACCTTTGTAATAGAGGGACTATAGGAGCAGTTTGATATAACAAATTTTTCATACAATTTATATAATTAGGGGGTCCCCGCTCCATCTCACCATCAGTTTGGGGGTCCTTGGCCTGGAAAACGTTGAAGACCCCTGACATAGACCATTTTTAATTTTTTTAAATTTATTTAAAAAGATGTTAAAACCAATGTGTAATTGCTTAGGTTTGTTTATTATTTAAGGTTTTGGGCTATAATGTTAAAATGTAGAACAGCTGAAGGGGATAGGAGTGTTTAAAATGGTTCTCTAAATGTAAATGAGGGCCAAAGCTTTTTTTGCTGTATTTGTGGGATGGTGTATGATGATGAACACGCCCCAACAAAGATAGAGGTGGAGGAGAAAGAAAAGAACACACTGCCATCCCATATAACTTAGAATTTTCTTCCCATACATCATCTCCTTTTATTTCAGACCTCAACAAACTCCCAGAGAGAGGTTGGTTCATCCTTCAGCAAAAAATCCAAAACGCCAACCAGCTTGGTGTTTGCACCTCATTGCACAAGTAATACCCAGTCTTCTAGATTAAAAAACAACCTAAACATGTCCAAAATCTTGATATTTTGGACAGAAAATATGAATGCATAGAGGTGAACATCTTACCAAAGCAGAAGCAGAAAAGCTACATAATCCAACACAAAAGAAATATATTTAATGTTTTCTTTTTTGCAGCTTAAAGTTAAATTCCTTTGCCATACTGTCAAGAAGCACCACAAAAAAATTGTGGAAAACACTGCTTTACTCAGAAAGGTCCTCTGTTTATGAGAACACAGTGCTTTTCTGTAGCTCCTGCTCCACAGGGGGGTGAAATGAACCTGTGCTCACACCAATAATCTGCTGGTCAGACTTAAGTTCTGCACATGCAGCTTTTTCTACCATTTGTTTTCATACTAATTACAAAAACTCGTTTATTCAGAGTACATTATGTCTTCTGTTTCAGAGCTATGCTAATTGGAACAATGTCTGCAGGTCTCAGCTAAGAGAAGAACAGAAAAAAATGTATTAAATACTAAATAAAAAGAATAAAATAAGAAGAAGCTGCAACATCTTTCCACCTTCAGCATTAAAAACATGTCAGGCATTTTCCTCCCCAACATGAAACTTACTGAGGATGATGACGGCTGAAGAAATGCGTCTGAGGTCACTGGTTGGAATATCAGGAGTCAGCATGCTGCTCTAACCTTCCTAAATCCACAGCCTGCTAGCAACCACTGCTGTCACTGCTGCAGCTTTAACGACAAACAGCTGGAGAGCCATGAATGCGTTTCAATGGATGGAAACAAAGTTGGAAATGCAACCAAGAAAAAAAAAAAAGAGCTGCCCCATGAGCATGATGGGGTACGACATTTAGGCTCCATGGGAGATATTTTAGCAACCATCAGGAGGGTCACAACGATGGGATGGAATGACAGTGCAGTAAAACCCTCCCCCCCGCACACACGCACACACTGAGCACATAAGTAGCTTGTAACCAGAGATGCTCTGAAACCGTCTGGTAACTAAGAGTATGAGTAAGTTTGGCTTAAAATACACTTCAGGATTTTAAAGAAGGTTGTTCACTTCACATTGAATAGACTAAATCATTAGACAGACCCTCTGATGCAGGTCAAAATTACTTAAAAAATGCTTTCAATCTTAATATAACAAAATGAAATGGGTGATAAGTTGTATGAACA